ATCATGAAACCAAAAGGGCTGCGGACTCGGCTGCCTAAAGTCTTGCGCTAAAACCGACCCACCTATTCGTTAAGGTAAAAATAGAGAATGGGAGGAAGAGATCGATCAGCCTGAACCACCGTGACTAAAGCAGAAGTAGGAATGGAGAATCAGCTGTCTGCGTTGAAGTCGATCTTCATCCCTATGCTCACCTATGGCCACGGGTCGCAGGCTCGTACTGAAAGACCTCGATCTCGGATACAAGTGGCTGAAACGGGAATTCTGAGACGATTCGCCTGAGTGTAGTCTCGACATAGTTAGCAGTTAGGATATCTACTAAAGCGTATATCAGCAGCATTTCTAAATTGGGAAGACATTTGGAGAATGGTTACTGAAAGTAATTCCAAATAGCAACTACTTGCTCAGCCGACCCACAGAAACCAAAAATGGTCAGAGGCAAGTTACTGGGCAGACTTTGCTCCAAACTCTGGTCTTCCTCTGCCGAAGCGCAGCTGTTGGCGACGTTAGAAGGCACGACCTGATGATGCTGCATCCGAGACCGGAAAGGATAAAGGGCTGTGAAACCTGACTGCTACTTAACTTTTCTACGGCAGGAAAGAACAGTATCCACGGTATGTAGTTCAAAGGTGGTCACTGTCGTTCGTGGAAAGTCATCATTTCAGCGAATATCATTTCAGTCTTTTCGAGACTGAATTCTTGACTAACGCATTAGCTGAATCAGAGTTTGCCTTCACCATCCGTTGTTGACCTTTACTGGAGATATGGCAACGAATAAGAAACAGCCAGTGAGCGACAGCGTTGCAATGTGTGTCCTTGTAGCTCTGATCATATCAGTATTTCGCATCCGCTAATCAACAGTGCGAATAACTATGAGCAACATTGATGAATCTGTTTGATCTCGGGGGATGAGAAGCGAGACTCCAGCAAAATGGCAAATTTTCTTTTGTGAGGTTAACCCGTTTTTATATTTACACAACTAGTAACACACCGCATGAGAAAACGCACGGACAAAACTAAATTTATCGTTTTAGCCAACTTTAATTTTGAAGATATCAGTTTCAGATGCAGCAGCATTCTTACCTACAGGCTGCCTTCCCACCGGATGCTTGTTAGCGGCCTGACGAATCGGGTGAATCATCTAAATTTGAAAAGACGATAGCAACAGTGAAGAAGTGAAATGAAGTTTACGGCGAATAAACGGAATATCTTGAATTTCGAGTAAACACTTTGAAAGTTTTCGTTAATAAGTTGTAATGCCTTTGAAGAACAACACAAATCAAAAAATTAAAGTGCAACTTGTGCTTATTGAGAGGAATCATGTCTTATTTTTCTGGTGTTGATCATGTTTCATTTCTCAGTCCTACATCACCGCTATGGCAACACATCTCTACATCCTCTGCATCTGCGCAGGGCATGCGACAAAGGGTTGTTTCCAGTAAGTCATCACTTAGCGTGTGCTCGCTCCAATTAAAAATGGAAATATGAATAATGTTCACTGTTAATTGCCGTCATTTAATAACATTGGAATCCAATAGCCATGCATATATTCCTCTGTAATTCTTATTTCTCTCCCATTCTTCTTTTAATTCCAACATTACGCTTCTGCCGATATGTTCGTAGGACTGATCACTGTCGAAGAACTGCATCTGTCATATACGACCTCTTTCATCTGTTCAGCGCTAAGAATTTTGTTGCGTCAGTTCGGAAAAACCTAAATCATCGGTCATCCGTAATTGCGTGTATAACAGTTGAACAGCTGCGTAGTGTAAACACAGCTCCCCGTCCAACGCAGTAAAGTAAGGTATGAACCGCTAGTACAAACGGACCTGAAAATCACCATCAGCCTATACACTTACTTATACTTACTCTGTAAATCCCGCCTTCACTTTTGTGACGATACCTAGCGTGGACAGTGGCGCTTGCAGGCGGTTCGGTACAGATGGACGAGGTAGCGGACAGATTGGCTAAAGTCG